GAGACACCATGAGGCTGAGGCCCATTAAATAAGGCACAGGCAGCAGCTTGATACCTCTGAGGATCTGGGCCCAAGTGATTTGTCCAGGGCTGCACAAGGTGTGTGGTAGAGAAGTGACTTGAGCCCTTCCCCCAGGCCCTAGAAAATCACTAATCCTTGTGCAAACCCCCCTGCCTTTGACCTCAGTGGGAGCAGGAGCTAGCTCTTCTCTCTGGGCTGGGGAAGCAGCTAGGGAGTGCTCCAGTGTGCTTCCTTCCTGGGGTTTTGTGGGTGGGCTGGGCAGCAAGATGATGGTTAATGGCTGTGGAGGAAATGCTCTAACTCCTCAGGCCAGATGTGTGGAAAGGAAAGCTGTGAAAAACCCCAGGCTCCCCGCATCCTGCTGCCAGACGCACCCTTGTCAGAGCCCTGCCCATTAATCACTCCTCGCGGCAACCGCCTGCCAACAGGTGCTGCTACCGCAGCCACGGGGAAAGCTTGCTTTCGGGGGGGCAGGGAGGGTGATCATGAGCTCGGTCTCTTCCTGGGGCCGCATTCCCAACAGACACAAATGAAGTGATCCAATAATCATAATTCAGTGTTTGTTGGGGGGAGCAGGTAGCAAAGGTCAAAGCCAAGTCCTTTCGTTGGTCAGATCCTGTTCCCACTACATTGCACAGCCAGCAGTTGGGCTGGAATGGATTCTCCGCTTCCTCGCTTGCACACCCTCCATAAGCCCTGAAAGAGGCCGGCCTTCCTGAGCCCAACACACTGCCTCCTGTCTTGCAGGGGATTAGGTAGACATCAGGACAGGGCTGTGACATACGCCTTCCATTAATGCTTGGAAAAATGACTGCTGTTTATTGGCAGTGTGCTCTAGCGAGAGCACTGGGTTGGGACTCGGGAGACGTGGCTCCTATTCTGGGCTCAGTTGTTTGCCTGCTGTGTGACACTGGGCAGGTGACTTCAGCTCCTGTGCCTCAGTGTCCCCATCCCTGCGATGGCCTTGCTGAGGAGGAGGGTCATCTTGCAGTTGGAGATGAGTGGCTGAAGATGCTCGGACAAGATGGTTCATGCAGAACAGTTTATGTAGCTGGCAGACAGCCAGATATGAACCGATGGGCTGGGGGTAGGAGACCAAAGGGAAATGTGGAGAGACACAAATCTAGAATAGGGCAGGAAGCGAGACCTGCTCCAGAGTACGGTGTCACCAGCGTCCGTGACTTGATTATATGTCAGGGCAGCTGGTGCTTCTCTTAAAGCATCAGCTCCTGGAGTCATGGGATTGCCTGGGAATCTTGTCTTTTGTTGAAAATAAGGGAAAGCGTTCTGCCTTTATTGTTTCAGAAGCAATCTTGGAGCCATGACGGAGTGCAGCCTAATGGGTCAGGACCCCCAAAATCAGGCGTATCTGTTACCAGTATTTCAGTGCATGCAAGGCAACCTCATGAGTTTGGAACAATGGATTAGATGTAATGATGGAGGGACGTGGACCAGAATACAGAACTGGGTGTGGGATGGGGCTGCATGTAGAGGAAGGAGAAAGGAGAGAGGGTTGGGACTCTGGGAAGGGCGTGGGTTTATTAAGAGAGAAAGCTATGCTGTTCTTCCCAGCTGATATCACTGACACCCTGGCTTCCTCTGGCTCATTCCAAATGCAGAGTATTTGCCCTTCAGGGCTGCTTTGCAGTCTGTTTGACTTTGTCAGGCTTCCTGTCTCTCTCCATATAGGTTGCTAGCACTAACCACCATTGCAGCAGCTCTCCAAAGCAAGCCACAAGCAGCTTCCTTGTCAAAACTGTTGCATGTCCCAAAGGAAAGGAGTTTTTCATGTGTATTAATCTACAGTGTGTTTGCAAAGGAATCTCACAGTGTCTGCCCTTGAAAAGCGCGCGTGTGTTGTGTGTGTGAGCTCACATCTAAATCAAGTTTGTAGCTAACAGCCTGCAGGTGTTAAGAGCTGCAACATGTACTGGGGGTTGTCTGGAATTGCACTCTATAAATCAAATATCTGTGGAAGGAGAGAAACAGAGACACACACCCGAACCCAGAGCAGTGTTACAGCTTGCAGCTCACGTGCTGTCAGGGGCCAAATTGTGCTGTCTTCTGAAAGAGTTTGGGTTTGGATTCCCCCTTTCTTCCCAGCACCCATGGCATCAGACCTCAGGGTTAGGTTCAGGCCTATCCATCTCTCAGGAAACGGGAGATGGAGATGGCTCTTGAACCAGAGCCTTGGCTCCCCTCTGGATTGTAATCTCAGCATGGCAGCTCATCCACATTGCCTTTATAATGCATGTAGGGAGAAAGGGGAGATGTGCAAAATATCTATAACATCACTCAGGCCTCTCTTCCCTCTGTTGCCAGGAGCATTTTGCACAGCCTGGGTCAAGATGTCTGGTAGATGACTTTCAGGGAAGCTGAGGGTGCACTGGGACTGGAAGACCATTCACATTGTTCCTACAGGTTATAGCAGGGGCAGGCAAAATATGGCCCACTATGTCATTCTGTTCAGACCACCAGGCCCTCCAAAAAAGCCATTATTACCGGCTCGTGGCTGCCCCTCTGAAGCCAGAGGGAGACGAGCGCTTTCAGAGGTTGCATGCCATTGCACTGGGCGGGCTCTGTGCGTCCACCTCCATGGGGCTCCCAGGACTCCAGCTGGGAGCCCAGTGTGAAGGCACCGAGTGCGATGGCTCATGACTGGACAGCTGGTGATTGGGGAGGGGAGCTCCTGCCTGTAGGAGGGGGGGAGGTAGGTGGGGTGGGGTTTGTGGCTGGGTATGGGCCCTCCGCCATGGCACACGGCTCTTGCTGGCAATGGCAGCAGCAGGCTGTGGGCCCTCAGAGTGCTCCTGACCTGCTGCAGGCAGAGCCCCCAGGCATCGTGCGGCTCCGGCTGAATCCTGGGAGCTGCACGTGGCAGCAGGGAGCCTGCCCAGCCCGACCCACTGGCACATGCCTTCAAACCAAACCAGGCTGGCTCTGTGCCAGCACATGGGGCTCCTGGCACTGCAGGTGGGAGCTATGCACTGTCAGGCCAGACCGGCTACATGCCTCCACATGGGGCTTCCAGCACTCCAGTGGGAAGCCGCACATGGCAGCATGGAGCCTGCCTGGCCCAGTGCCACGTGACTCCCTGTGGCTCCTGGTCCATGTGCCGTTGGGCTGGGGTGGCTTCGTGCCTCCACGTGTGGCTCCCCACTGGAGTGCTGGGAGCCCCACATGGAGGCATGGAGACACCCCAGCCCGATGGCTCCTGCTTGCATTGCTGGGAGCCCTACATCCTGGCACGGAACCAGTTTGCTCTGCTTCAAAGGTGTGTGCCAGCAGGCCAGGCCAGGCCAGATCCTGGGCAGGTCGGATCTGTGCCTCCATGTAGCTCCTGGGATTCAGGCAGAGCTGTGTACCACCAGGGGACTCTGCCTGCCACAGGCTCAGAGTGCCCCAAGGGCCGGCTGCTGCCACTGGCGGCAGGGACTGTGCACCATGGGGGGGAGGGCACCCACAAACCCCGCACACACCCACACATACTCCTCCAACACCCTCTCACACCCCCCCACAACACTTCACAGCCCACCCAACCCCCACCCCCACCCCACACACAGACGCACAACATAAAAGAGTAAGACTTTATT